AGTCTGAGCTGTCAGCACAGAGCCCGACACGGGGCTCGAACCCCCGAACCACGAGATCATGACCTGAGCTGAAGTTGGATGCTTAACTGACTGCGCCACCCAGGCATCCCTATATCCTCAGTCTTTAAGGAAAGATTTTTCAAACAAAAAAACCCAGAAACAGTAAAAAAAACTATTGATAGCTTTTACTTCTGTTCCTCAAAATACGGCAGAAACAAACACTACTGATCAAGAGGAAAAAGAGAAAATACTCTGTCATTACAATGGGCAAAGTATAAGACCATTTACAGAAGAGATCTCAATTATCACAAAAGAAAAAAGATGAAAGGCATTCAACCTCACTGGAAACTCAAATTAAAATCTCACTACAATATAATTTCATAGTTAAAAGACTGGCAAAAATAAAAGGCCTGACAATATCAAGTGTCAACAAAGATGTGAAGTTAAAGGAACTCCCAGGTAATGCTGATGGAACTGTAATTTGGTTGTACCAAATTTTTGTATCAAGTTTTGGAGAAAACTTGACGATATCTGATAAAATGAAATAGTGAGCATGATCCTGGCACCCAGCAATGTCTCTCCCAAGCTCTATCACTGAGCATCATTTGATAAATGGCAGGTTGCAACCAATTTTTCATTGGTCAAGAAATCAATTCAATAGGTTGAGACCAACATTTTTTTTAGACCAACATTTTTGATAGGCTAGAACAGAACAGGATATACCAGAATGGATAACAGCAAGGGTAGGTATAGCTTCATGAAATGCTTGCTTTCATTATTTACGATGTACCCACATAAATATTTAATAACTGGGCTTTTAATAACTGGGCATTTAATACCTGGGTTTTAATGTAAATTTTATTTATTACCTTAGATTACGGTCTGAAAGCCGCTGTCCTAGAGAAACTGTTACACATATGCACCAAAAGACATGTACAAAAATGTTATTTGTGACACTTTTTAACAATACTACTGTCCATAAGTAAAAGAATAAATGTTTTTTAAATTTTTTTAATGTTTATTTATTCTTTGAGAGAGAAAGACAGATAGCACCAGTAGGGGAGGAGCAGAGAGAGGGAGACACAGAATCTGAAGCAGGTTCCAGGCTCTGAGCTGTCAGTCCCTACGCAGGGCTCGAACTCATGAACCGCAATATCATGCCCTGAGCGGAAGTCAGATGCTTAATCAACTGAGCCACCTGGTGCCCCAAGAATGAATATTTTTAATCACAATCATACAATGGAATGTTATATAACAATGAAAACTAGTGACCTAGAGCTACAGAAAACAACACAGATCTCAAAGCATGTTAATAAAAGCAATTTAGGGGTGCCTGGGTGGCTCAGTCGGTTGAGCGTCCAACTTCGGCTCAGGTCATGATCTCATGGTCCGTGAGTTCGAGCCCTGTGTCGGGCTCTGGGCTGACAGCTCGCAGCCTGGGGCCTGCTTCAGATTCTGTGTCTCCCTCTCTCTCTCTGCCCCTCCCCCACTCATGCTCGCTTTCTCTCTCTCTCTCTCTCTCTGTCAAAAATAAACATTAAAAAAATTTTTTTAATAAAAATAAATAAATAAAAGCAACTTAAAAATGTGCATAGTATGATGATGCCATTTATACAACATTTAAAAGCATGCAAAACAACAACTTGATATTATTTAGGGATAAGTGCATACATATGTGGAAAAGAATTCGTTCCATGACCACCAGACACAGAACTGTGGTTACCTCTGCAAAGGAGAGAGGAAATAGGATGGGGGAGGTTTACACATTGGGCCTTAACTATATTTAAAAGATTTTTACTCATTAAGTTGATTGGTCGATCTACACATATTGGTAATATTATTTCCCATTCTTTTCAGAACGTCTGTATCATTTTATAATTAAACAAAAATTTTTTTAACATTTATTCATTTTTGAGAGACAGAGACAGAGCGTGAGCAGGAGAGGGGCAAAAAGAGAGGGGACACAGAATCTGAAGCGGGCTCCAGGCTCTGAGTTGTCAGCACAGAGCCTGACGCAGGGCTCAAACCTACAAACCATGAGATCATGACCTGAGCCGAAGTCGGCCGCTTAACCAACTGAGTCACCCAGGTGCCCCACAATTTTTTAAAAGGGAAAGATATATAAACAAAAAAGACATTTGGTTTGAAATTTATAAAACCTCCCAGAAAAAGATCAGTGACTTTAGCCACAATAAACCAACAAACAAAAACTTTTCTATATCAAAAACATCGGAGAAGTTTTCTGACAAGATAGTGAAATAGGTAATAACATGCTTCATCTCTCCTACAAAAGTCAATGGGCAAAGCAACAAAAATACACAAAATGAAGAACTCCGTGGAAATGATAAATCCAAGAGAGTCTTCATTAAGAGATCCACATTTTTGATGAATTTCAGGAAGCTGGAAAGCAGATAGGATCTATCAGGGAGCACCAACAAACCTACCCCATCCTCAGCCCATGCCCACCCCTGCCATGCACACACACACACAGGCAATGAACAGAGCAGCTGGCTGGAGAAACACTCAGCTGGAGCTTCAGGGTCTGTTCTTTAAACAAAACAGAGTATCTGTCAAAGACGGATGGACAGTGTGGGTGTTTTATCCAGGGAGATGGTTAATAACTGCTACATTAGACCCAGCCCGGGGGTGGGGGGGGGGGGGGGGGGGGGGGGGGAGGGAAGGAATGGCATTTGACTTGGCACAAAAGATAGTAAAGTCCTTCTATACCCCCAAATAGTCGTTCTCTTACTTTGGTAATTACAGAGTAAGCCTCCCTTTTCCCTTCCACTCACTCTAAAGGGAAGCCTGCCAATGTGTGGGATTCGACAACTTACACAAATTCAGTGATCATTCTTAGCGTTAAAAAGACCTATTCAGCTCCGCAGGAGACCCAGCTACTACCGAACACGGTCCTTCAGTTAAAGATTACCAGCCACCGAGGAAAATCAAAACCATGAGAGAGAAAAAAAGCAAAAATATAAGGGTGATAACTGACCCTAGAGAAACGAAGATACTGGAAAAAAAAAAAAACATCTCTTGGCTGTTTTAGGAAAGGATGCTTCGTAAAAGAAACAAACAAAAGTTAGACCCAGTGTCTTACTTATCCTTACATGTATATTCACAATTTCCTATAAATTAATATGCATGCTACTTATTATTATGATAATACCATAAGCATAATACTTATTAAATCTTTTTAACTTTCATAAATGAAAACAATTTCCTTTTCCAGAGACATTGCTGCCTAAGCCATAATAGTAATGATCAGACATAATACTCACTGGGAAATTCAGTAAGCAATTTCCTGGATATGCATTATGTACTTTCCAAATGAAAGAACATAGAAAGGAATACGCAAAAGTCAATAGATGTCTGTGCCCCACTCTACCAAAGCCTTTTGGATTCTTACCACACCCAATGTCCTGAGGACAGATCAAGTCCAGCCTGAGCAGTTCCTAGACATTCAGCAATGTAACAGATGAACTCAATCTGGATGTCTTTTGAAATAAACAAGCCATTTCCAATATTTAAATTCAATCTGGGGAGGGGCTGACAGAATTTAGAGGTTCTGGAATAAATCCATGTCTTGGAAAAGGTTTTGAAATTATCCCAACCTCCTAGAAGATTTGACTATTACTGAGCTCATATTTTCTGGTAAAACTTCAAAATGAAACCAATCTGTACTGTACAAAGAGGCCTAGAGATAAAGCATCATCTGTCCCCCAACCTTTCCAAGTGTACCATTTACATTACACTTAATTACTGAGTAAGGAACTCAATGTCTCAAAAAAGTTAAGAGATTGTGCCTTTAAAAGTGCTTGAATGACATCCTGAGAGAACCTAATATTTTTCTATTGCATGTAAAAGAAAGGAAGCTTGTTAAAAAAACAAATGTTTCTATAAATCATTAGAAGTCTTCTTGGCCTGTGCCACATCATACAGCCAAAATCCCTATGTCTAGTGCTTCTCACATTCGCACAAGTACAAAACACCTGAGCATCAGGCTGTTACTTCGTTGCTGAACTCGAGTAAAGCTATAAATCTAACAAAGTTCACCTGCAGAGCTCCAGAGTTGCCTTTCTGTTTTTTTTTTTTTAATTTTTTAAAACGTTTATTTATTTTTGAAAGAGAGAGAGAGAGAGACAGAGCACAAGCAGGTGAGGGGTAGAGAGAGAAGGAGACACAGAATCCAAAGCAGGCTCCAGGCTCTGAGCTGTCAGCACAGAGCCGGACGCGGAGCTCGAACTCATGAACCATGATATCATGACTGGAGCTAAAGTCGGACACCCAACCGACTGAGCCACCCAGGTGCCCTTGGAGTTGCCTTTCTGCAGTTTTGCCCCCACAATGCTAACTTGTTTCCTCCTGCTCACATGCCAGTTCTTGACCACCTTTATGTCTTTCTTCAGATTCAACAAGCTCGAAAGGATCCTGGAAAGAATCTAGCCCAGTGCCCTCCTTTTAGAGAAAAGTAAACTGATGCTTATAGAGTTAAGGATTTACCCAAGGTCACACAACTAATGAGAGATGATGCTGTGAGAAGGAGGTCTCTGATGCCCTATGCAATGCTTTTTCCACTACACCAGGCTGCCTCTTTAAACACCGCAAAAGATATATTTATGCACATCCTCACAGCCCACAGCCTCTCCCCTCTGTGTCTTTTTCCTCCTGGTACAACCATTTATCAACTTTAAGTCACCAATAACCTCCTTCCTTGTTAATTCTATACCCATGATAAAACAGGAAAGAATTCAGTATCCATTTAAATTAGCTAATTCATTTATTGATAATACTTCTATTATCTTTACATTTATCTTTTAAAGTGAAAAACACCTTAACACTTCCAAATCAAAACATAGAGCTTAATAATTATATCCACAATGAAAGTCAGAAAAGAATGAAATTACTGTAGATTCTTACTTTGCATAATGCCATAACATTTACCATATTCCTTAAAAGAAAAGCCGGAAATCATATATCGATTCCATGTTAATACTCACCACAAAAGTGATCTGATTGTGTCGCAGGTTAAGTTCAGTTAGTGAATCCAGCCCATTAAGATTATCAACGTGACTTAAAAGGTTCCTAGCAAGATTTAAAACTCTCAAATCACACAAATGACTAACATTTTCGATTCTGGTAATCTGTTAAAAAATGAGAAAATGATGAATAGCAGGCATAAATCATGGATATGCATGTTATAAAAACCCTAAAAATAAAATATAGTCACTGGATTCAGGGACACATTTACATGAAGACATTTAAAAACCTACTTCCAATTTCCTCTGTTGTGGATAATAAGAAGTCTTTTAACTTGCAAAACTTAACTAAAGGAACATATTTTAGAATTTGGCCATAGTAAATATTTGAAGTAAATTTTATCAAATAACCACCAAGTCCATCCTTGGGGGCATCTCTTGTTGCCCAATACTGTGCCGGGTCCAGATAAAGGTGAAGTATACATACTAGTCGCCAAATAAAAAATTACTCTGAGCCCACAGCAGGAGCTCACAGTGTTTTGACCACGCAAGCCAGCCCTCTGAGAGAAAAGGCAGGGAGAAGGAATGCTGCCACGCCCCCCTTGTGCCTCCCACCAATTCTGCAGGATCCTGAAAGCCTGTCAAGAGTCTAAATGGAAAAGATACAAGGAACTAGGATCCCCAGTGGAGGGTGAGGGTGGAAGTGCTTAAGAGAGGAGACAGATAATGTTTGGCCAGAGTGCACTATGATGGATGTGAAGCGTTTAGCACAAGAGGACTTGAGTCGTGGAACAGGCACATACTCATGAGCGCTGGCCCGCGGCAGAGGAGTTCTGAGCACAGTAAGGTAGGGTAAGGGAAAGCTTACTCATGAAGTGGTGAGAGCACAATGTGATTTGAAGCCCCACTAGTGTAATATAGCAAGCACAGCACAATGTTTCTGTAGGACACAGAGGTGGGGGTCCTTGCGGGGGACTTCGTAAACTTTTTACCGTCATGTACTTAAGTTAACAATGAGTCATACACATAACGCTTTTCTTCCAAACATTAAAAAAAAAAAAATTCACAATCACTAGAGATTAATTTTCTCATGTGTACTGTCCTCCCAGTATTATTTGCAATTTTTTATTTAACACTTCAGAGCAGATGTTGGCTAAAAGAACTTCTTCTTAGATTTATAATCCAGTTTGTATGTTGTTATTGGACCTTCCCCTACATTCAAGAAATACCATCCAGATTCCATCTAGGTTCAAAAGGGAAAACCTAACTATGTTTATTATAAATTCAGTAATATACAAAGGGGACATCTGAGTATGTTTTAAAATTTGTCCTAAGATTTTTGGTCTAACTAATATAAAATGAAAGTAAATGAAAATTGTAAAAGAAGAAACAAGGTTATCAGTATTTGTAGATGACAGAACTGTACAATTAAATGTGGACAAAAGCATCTCAAAACTAAACAGATGACAGAATTTGAAATGTATGTAATCTGGGGTGCCTGGGTGCTCAGATGGTTAAGCGAGTCTGACTCTTGATTTCAGCTCAAGTCATGATCTCATGGTTCATGGGATCAAGCCCCGCACTGGGCTCTGTGCTATCAGCTGACAGCACATAGCCTGCTTGGGATCTTCTCTCTTCCTCTCTCTCTGCTCCTCCCATGCTCATGCTCACACTCTCTTTCTCTCTCAAAATAAATAAATAAACTTAAATTTAAAAAATGAAACGTATGGAATCAGCAAAAAGCAAAATAGACGCTGTACAAAATCAGTAAGGCCACCATAAGCTTGAGAAATTCTCCTAAAATACTAAGGGAAAATGGAGATACGAAGAATAAAAGGTAAGATGGGGATATGGAAGACAAACAGTATAGAAGTAACAAACACAAATGGAAAAGCAATATTTAAATATATAAAATAAAACTTTCCTGAGCTCAGGAAAGATCTAGAGAATGAAGGGGCACAACTGTTATATGATATGCAAAAGATGTCTTCCCCCCTCTTGCTAATAATCCTGGGGCATTTCTTTTAGAAAACCACCTTTCTCTAACTCCTTGGTCCTGGTGGGACTTATAATTAGAATGCTTACAGTGCAGAGTTACCTTTTTATTTTCTTTGGTAACTCTGAAAAGGAACATTATTAATTCTAAAATATAGGTATCAGGCTGTGATTTAAAAAAATCAGTGGGGGGGCGCCTGGGTGGCGCAGTCGGTTAAGCGTCCGACTTCAGCCAGGTCACGATCTCGCGGTCCTTGAGTTCGAGCCCCGCGTCGGGCTCTGGGCTGATGGCTCAGAGCCTGGAGCCTGTTTCCGATTCTGTGTCTCCCTCTCTCTCTGCCCCTCCCCCGTTCATGCTCTGTCTCTCTCTGTCCCAAAAATAAAAAAAAAATAAAAAATAAAAAAAAAATCAGTGGGGATACCGTTCAGCTTTTTGGTGTGCAATCAGATAGGCCATGTGCAACAGAATCATGTGCAACATCTCTGATGGAGCCTGTTACGCAGTGCAGCCATGGACAAAGTCACAAGCATTTGAGTAATGACAGAAATTCCAGGCAAAAGACGGTGTAGGGTGAGAGCAGACCTCTTGATTAGTTAATAAAGTTCACAGCAAGAAGAAATGATGGGCATGTTGGAAAGCCCAGTCGTGGGTCATACTGATCAGAGAGAGGGCCTCCAGACAGACTTCAGGACTTCCTGTTACATCTAGAAAGGCTAGATTCTCATCTCGTCTTTGTGTATAAGAGTAGCCCACACTGCTCTGTCTGGATAAAGACAACCTTCCTATTTAGCAATGCTGAAAGGGCAATGTCTGTTTTCAGGCAAGCAATCACACAAAGGGCAAGCTGTCCCTAAAGGAAGAGATGGCATCGAAAGAACAGATTCTTCCTGAAGCATATTACTGTCCATGTGAAAGCAAGCATTTACCGAGAGGACAAATTCTGGAAGACCAAAAAAAATCCAGGTCAGAAATCAAGAGTCAACCTCCCAGATTCCTCTGTATTCTTCACCATTCACATATAATCAACTGCTAAATCTTGATGTTTCTATTAATCTGCCCCCTTATATCACTATTGCTACTACTTCAGATCAAACTGCCATCCCTTTCCACAAAGACTATTAGATTGGTCTCTCAACCATTCTGTCTCCACTTTCACTTTTCTCCAACTCATTCCACCCCCAAAACCTATTTCTTGAACACCGTTATCATTACTCAGAACATTTTCACATCCATAAGCCAATTATGTTTTATTTCACAGTGCATACCAAGTATTATTTTTATTTCTAACAAAAGGAAATTCAAAAAACAAAAAATATTCACTTAATTTTCTTTTAGCTTTTTAACTACCTGCTGCTATTTTTTTTTAATTGGACGTGTCACCTTGAATATTCTATCTCCAGATTTTTTAGAAACCTAAGGTCAACCGAGGCTGTCTTCACTTTGGAATATTCCAAATTTCTGCTTATTGCATTTGGATATTTTCAAATAAGACTCGATTCTCATCTAAAACTTCCTTCTTAGGGCACTTGGGTGGTTCAGTTGGTTAAATGTTTGACTCTTGATTTCAGCTCAGATCATGATCTCACAGTTTGTGAGTTCAAGCCCTGCATCAGGCTCTGCACAGTGCAGAGCCTGCTGGGAATTCTCTCTCTCTCTCTCTCTCCCTGCCCCCTCTGCCTCTCTCTCTCTCAAAACAAATAAACTTAAAAAAAAAAAACCTTCCTTCTTATAGTTATAGAGCTTTGAGAAATAATTTGTATGTTACAAATGTTTACTCTTAATACATGGAATATTACAAACACGATGCTGAAATTATATGACATCACACAAGGCAGCTAACAAGGAATGAGCATGTTTCATCAGCATAATTGTTGGTAAATAATTCCTACACATTACATATGATCAAGTGATATGTTATTCATTTATCAGGTCCTCTCACAGATCTTTGGTAATGCCCAATGAATTCTTAAAGGTGTATTATAATGTGAAAACTACAAAAATATGTTTAATTCTCACATATACATTTTTAAATAAACCTTAAAATATTGCTACCACAAAATGTTTCAGTTAGTTAGGAATAGTTTTAAAAACAGGGGGCTGAAAGATGGAAGGGCAATTCTGTAGTGCAGCATACAAAGCCCTCCGTGGTCCAGCCTTTACCTGCCACTCTTGCCTCATTCCTCACCATTCTTCAACATATGCTAAACTCTCTAGCAGTAAAAAATAACTTACTACGTAGTTTTTAGTCTCAGTGCCTTTGCATATGATAGTCTTTTACCGACAAAACCCCTTCATTCTTCTTCCCATTCCATCACCACCTAATTGGGTAACTAACTTCTCCCCTGCTAGAGTGATGCTAATCAGCCCGTAGAGCTGGGCAGTTCTCAGGCCAACATTCTTCCCACTCTGTGCGCACACAGAAGACACACAGACGGGGCGGGGTTAGTTTGGAACCTAGCAGATGTGGTCCATCTAGATCTGTCAAGGTTTTCATTCATTACATTAGCTTTTCACCAAAACGATGGAGACTAACAGCTGACAGAAAGCCTAGAGAGATCATGCTGAAGTTTGTACTTGACCAACTGCAGGTGGCAGTGACAGATCTTGTTCATCAACAGGCAGGGACTCATGGATCATCCCAGAATGTACAGTCACCACCTCAAGAGAGGCTTCACCTTCTGCATGAGTATGTAGCTCATGTAGCTGTTTATAAATAAATACCCACATTTCAAAGACAAAAATTTCAATGGAAAAGCAAAAGACTAAAAAACAGCCAAGATGCGCTGAGAGAGAAGAAGGGGAGTGGGGAGACAAAACAAACCAGATAGAGGAATTCAAGCAGACAGACGCAGAGGCAGACAAAATAACTGAAGAGAATAGTCCAGATTATAGAGTAACCAGGGAAATGGAAATCAAAACCACAAAGAGATACCACTTTATGCAAATTCAAATGGCAAAAAATAAGAAGTAGGACAAGTCCAGAGCTTTGAGTGGTGGCCGCTGCTGGGCTCTGGCTTCCCACCAGCAGAGAGTGAGGTGGTGTGGACAGCGGCCCCGACACCCCATGCTCTGCCAGTCCCTGTGCCCCAAGCCCACTGCTCCTTGCGTCTACACCCTGCTGCCACCCCAGTCCAGTAAGCAGCCCAGATGCAGGCCATAGAGTACGTGGTGGTGGGAGATGGAGCTGCCCATAAACCCTGCCTCCTGATGGGTTACACGGCCAATGCATTTCCTGGACTATTGTCCCCAGTGTCTTTGAAAACCACTCTGCCAATGTTATGGTAGATGGAAGATGGGGAATCTGGGCTTATGGGATACAGCTGGACAAGAAGATTATGACAGATTACGTCCCTTATCCTATCCACAAACAGATGTACTCTTAATTTGCTTTTCTCTTGTGAGTCCTGCATCATCTGAAAATGTTGGAGCAAAGTGGTACCCTGAAATGCAACATCACTGCCCCAACACCCCCATCATTTTGGTGGGGACTAAACTTGATCTCAGAGACAACGAAGACACCATTGAGAAACTGAAGGAGAAGAAACTGACTCTCATCACCTACCAGCAGGGTTTGGCCATGGCTAAGGAGACTGATGTTGGAAAATGCCTGGAGTGCTTGGTTTTCATGCAGCAAGACCTCAAGAGAGTGTTTGATGAAGTTATTTGAGCAGCTCTCTGCCCTCTCCCGTCAAGAAGAGGAAAAGAAAATGCCTGCTGCTGTAAATGTCTGGACCCCTCTCTGCCCCGTCCCCCTGGGAACCACTGTCCACTTTGCTCAAAAATGGTGGAGCCTTTGCACACAATGCAAAGTTTTTGTTACAGATTTTTTTTCCACTAAACCATTTTGAACCAATCGGTAATTTTTAGGTTTCATTCATTTAAAGTGTAAGCCTTCAAACTTTGACATGATATTAAAATATAGCCTTAAAATGGCAATCTTTCTTAAAGCCTTATTTTTCAAAAGCCCTTATTCTTGCTCAGATTAAGAGTTGCCCAAATACCTTGTGAACTAAATTACGCTGTCGTGCTGACAACACGAAGCACTGCACCGTTAAAGACCTTTGTCTCAAGTTTGGAAATGCAGGCACTTCCCAACGAGTTTCTCCCAGGAAAGCAGCACAGCATCCTCCTTCATGAAATGTTGCCATCTGACCACCCGTAATTTATCAGCCCATGTCCATTCCCTAACACTGTACTGTGTGTCCTAATGGAATGAGTGTAATGACTCAACTCTTTGGATCAATCTTTTTTTTTTTTTTTAACGAAGCTTTTTCCTGGGCAGAGTTTTTGCTTTTTTTAATGCTTATTTATTGTTGAGAGAGAGACAGAGTCAGAGTGTGAGTGGGGGAGGGGCAGAGAGAGAGGGAGACACAGAATCTGAAGCAGGTTCCAGGCTCTTAGCTGTCAGCACGCCCCGAACCCACAGACCGTGAGATCATGACCTGAGCTGAAGTCAGATGAGCCACCCACATGCCCTGGATCAATCTTTTTGATTTTGTAGTGAGATTAAAAAACAAAAAACAAAAAAACCCCCAAAAAACCTTAGTGTCTTCACTTCGGCTGAGATTCTGAACAGCCCCCTTACTCCTGTGTCCCTCTGATGCGAAGTGTGTGCTCTAGTGGTGGCCGCATCAGTGTGGGGTGTGTGCAGCCCGTGACACAATCAAAGAATGAAGACAGTTATTCTGATAAAATATGGAGGTTAATTTACATTACACTGTACACATCATAATTAAACTGAGTAAACGTGTCACGGGTAAAATTTTAAAAGGCTAATCTTTGTCAAATGCAGTAAATGATGAAGAAAGGTTGGTATTATTACTAAGTGTTTTAAGCTTTTCCTTACTCTTAGACCTCCCATCCGTCCTGAAACCAGGCATTTAATTCATCTTTGAACTCATCATTCCTATTGTTGCTAGCTTAGTGCTTTTCTTACAGAACCCCTTAAGGAGCAATAAAGCCTCCTTGTGTTATAAAATCTCTCTGATAATGCATTAGAAATTTTTTTTGTAGATTAATAAAAGTGCATTCCTGTTTACTTATTACTTTATCCAAAGCCAATAAGCGCTTTCTTTAGTTGTGTAGTAACTAGGTGTAAATCATGTGTTGCAGTTATACAGTTTTTGATATTTTTAGGTATCCTAAACTATGAACTTTCTTAACATCACTATCTTGCCAAATGGCCAACACTGTACCTTGACTAATGTTGAGCCTCCTCTTTGCCTCACCCCCTTGGACACATGCTTCCTGTTGCTCTGCCTAACCATGTTCCTGTAGGTCTGTGAGGTTCTGGAAGCCTGTGTTCGTGCTAATGAAGTTCTGTACAACTTATCCACTGGCAAGAATACAAGGTTGGACCTTTCGACCCCCAGAACAAAATTTTCTACATTGACAGTTACAGAATTGTGGGGTGTTTTCACATTGACCTTTTGCTAATGCAATTAGCAGTATGTTTTGCATGCATGACTTAATAAATCCTTGAGTCATAAAAAAAGTATGATAATTCCAAATGTTGAAAAGAATGTGAAGTGACAGGATTGATTATGCATTACTGGTGGGAGTATAAACTGCTACAACCACTTTGGGAAACAATGTGATACTATCTTTTGAAGTTAGACATTAGATAATCTCTGATCTGTCAGTTTCATTCCTAAATATATACCTTAGACTACATATGGCACATGGAAGAAACACGTACAAGAATGTTCATAGAAGTGCTATTCCTAAAAGGAAACAAACAAACAAACAAACAAAAGGAAAAAACCCAAACGTCTACCAATAATAAACCGGAGAAAATAGTTTTCATGTAATCATTCCATGGAACTCACAACAGCAAAAAGGAGTAAACTATAGCTTCATAAATCAAAATAGATTAATCTCAGTAAGCTAATGTTGTATGCAAAAAGCAAATACTAGATGCCAATATAGAGTACGATACCTTTTTAAAATTACAACACAATACTACTAAACAAGTTATTATTTAGACACACATATATGTGATAAAACCAACTTTAAAAATCTACAAGGGAATGATAAATGTGAAATCCTGAAGAGTGGTGACCTCAGAATAAAGGAGGAATACCTAAGTAGAAGAAGATCATTAGTAAGTTGTTGGGCTAGGGTTGTATAATATATATTTTAAAAATAACAAAAGACTGGGGTGCCTGAGTGGCTCAGTCGGTTGAGCATCTGCCTCTTGATTTCAGCTCAGATCATGATCCCAAGGTGGTGGGATTGGGCCCCATGTTGGACTCCACACCGAGCAAGAAGCCTGTTTTGGATTCTCTCTTTCTCTCCCTCTGCCCCTCTCCCCCTACTCTCTCTCTAAAATAAAATTTAAAAATAAATAAATAAATAAAATAAATAAGAAAAAACACTGTCATAAATATAAGGATTCTGAATGTTTTATAAGTTTCAACTGCCATTTACTGCTATGGAATTACCATAACTTATATAAATAGGCTTAATACCTTAGAAATTTCAGTGAATCAGTAGTCTTGAAAAATTCAACACAAGTATCATTGCTAAAATTTTTATAATACCTAATTTCCTAGACTTTTTTTCAGAAAAGAAAAAAAATGAAAGGGCTTTACAATACCTGATTTCCATGAAGGTCCAAGACATCTAAGCTTTTAAGGTTCTCCAGATTTGAGATTTTCTTGATTCTGAAAATCAAAATAAGCAGAGTAGAAATAGGGATGCATTTATCGTAAATCAAAACATGCTAGAGCATAACTTATTTTTATTAAAAAAAATTTTTTAACATTTATTTATTTGAGAGAGAGAGAGAAATCAAGCATAAGTGGGGGAGGGGCAGAGAGTCGGGGACACAGAAACCAAAACAGGGCTCCAGGCTCCAAGCTGTCAGCACAGAGCCCCACCAGGGGCTCAAACTCAAGAACCGCGAGGTCGGGTCCACTGACAACAGACTAAGCCACCCAGGCGCCCCGCATAACTCATTTTAAATTTATTCTTTCTACAGATAAGTAGACAGATATAGAAACAACGATAGATATATACCTATCTATATAAATCTGTATATAGTAAGAGAGTATACGTAATTGTATATATAAAACAAAAAATATTTCCCGTTGATTTAATTATAATGTTAAGATGCAGTCCCACTGGAGGAAAGTCCCAAAGACAGCTTAAAAGTCGTATCTTTATGAAAAATCAACTCTACTTCTAAGAACTTTAGGACAATGCACTTACTCAAGGCAGCTCTTTTTACTTCAGAATATGATCTAAAATCCTTACCTCAGTCCTCAAGGCCCTAACCCTTGTGGCTGCTTCCTCCAGCCTTATCTCCTACCATGGCTCAGGCTCTCTGCTCTGGCCACAGGGGCTTTCTTGCTCTCTCTAACCTGACAAGTTCATTTCTGCGTTCTGTAAACGCCTTGGAGCGTTTACCCTTGCTGCTCCTTCTTCCTCAGTGTTCTTCCCCCAGAACTTCGCACGGTTCACTCCCCCTGCCTGTCTCCATTATTCTCTCCTTCCCCTGCTTTAATTGACTTCATTGCATTTATGCTTGCCTAAAATTATATTATTTGTTTACTTTCTTATGATCTCCTTCCTCAAACCAAAATGTGAGCTTCAAGAGGGCAGAAACTTTGACATATTCTCTACTATATCCCCAACGCTCCAAACAGGGGCTGGCACTGAGTAGGAACCCAATATATATTTGTTTAATGAATAAATAAACATATACTAACTAAATGGATGAGGTTTATGTACAAGGGTATCCATAATAGGATTGTTTATTGCAGAGATAAATTAGACGCCATGTAAGTCTGGATCTGCTCAGTTAGTGAATATTTGGAATTTTTGATTTGCCATCTGTGAAAAGCTAAAACATTGCTATAAAGGAAAAAACACAGCATTTTATCTCTAAAATGCCCCCTCTTATATTCCTTAATGATTAGGGCCACCCACTGTCTCCCTCATGCCTATCTTTTCTGGCCACCTTATCTGTCCAACTGCCTCCAACAGGACAGTTCTTTTTTTTTTTTTTCTAAATGTTAATTTATTTTTGAGACTGACAGTGCACACTACAGGGGAGGACAGAAAGAGAAAGAGAGAGAATATCAAGCAGGCTCCACACTGTTGGTGCAGAGCTGGACGCAGGGCTCGAACTCACAAAGCGGAAGATCATGACCTGAGCCTAAATCAAGAGTTGGATGCTTAACCGACTAAGCCACCCAAGCGCACCATAGACAGTTCTAAAAAAATAAAACAAAAACCACTTCCCTTTTATTTTTCCCTACTACAGACCCTAATTTCTCATGCTACCATAATTCAGTAGAGGGAAAGGAGCAGCGGCAAAGAAAGGGTAGAAATGAAGTTCATACAATCCATCTTGACCATCGTCTGCCTATCACTATTCACTTCTGTTGTCATTACCTACTGCCTCAAAGAACCATTTCTACATTGCTAAATGTTTCCAGAACCTGGATCATCCCTTGAAATTTCATATATGCTGATCACTGATGTGGGGAACAAAGGCAAAAGTTCTGTTCTCTAGGAACAGAACTGCCTCGATGTTAATACTTTGCTAAGGGCAAAAGGCAATCTTAGCGTAACATTATCTCGAACACCGGCATCCTATAAGTCTCCTTTAACATATAAAAACTCCTTTGGAAACTTCCTTTATCTTTATCCCCCAACATATATGTTAGTAATCATCCTCCAAGCACATGGCCCCTGACATACATATGAAGGGTCTCCTGACTAAGATTTTATTAGACAGTAATAAATGACCTTTTCCTAAAGAATAGGTAGTCCCCTCAAGGTCCTGGAAACCTTGCTTCCAAAATTCCTTACAGACTTATGCTATCTCTAACCCCCTCCCAACTTCAAAGTATATAATCAAATGCTCCTCACAATCCCAGTGCAGCTCTTTCTGCCCACGAGTCCCGTCCCCGTGCTTTAATAAAACCACCTTTTTGCACCCAAGACATCTCAAGAATTCCTTCTGGTCCATCCGCTTAGAACCCCAACGTTTTCACATGAGTCCCCATGTAAACATAATGCAAATTTAAGCTTCATGAATTTCCATCTCCATTTGACCTCAGTCATCTTACATCATTGCCAAATCCAGAATTATATCACCACAACCAATTGAATCCAACTTATCTATGATAAGTGCACCTACTACTGTGCACTATCACAATGCGATTATGTTCATCTTCTCTCCCTTATCACACACACATGCCACACCCCCGTCTTATCTTTTGTTCTTCCTATCCTTATTTTTCTTTAGTATTTTAAAAGAGTTTCTCAAGCTTATGCTGACACTATCAAATAGGAAAACAGACAAAACTTTCAACAAAATTAGTCTTCTGCCTGCTTTGCCCTTGAAATATTTAGAATAGTTGGAGAAAACTACAATACCCTGATAATATGGATTAGGACAGAGTGATGCTTTCTTTTTTTTTTTTTTTTTAGTTTAAAAAATTTATTTATATGGGGGGGAGGGCATGTGTGCACACATGCGAGAAAGGGAGGGGAAGAGCGAAAGAATTCCAAGCAGGCTCCGTACTGTTGCACAGAGCGGCTCGAACTCCCAAACCGTGAGATCACGACCTGAGCCAAAATCAAGAGTAGGATGCTTCACCAACTAAGCCACCCAGGCGCCCCCAGAGCAATGCTCTCTAACAGCAATCCAACTTCAGAGAAGTCTTTTACTCAACTGGTTTTATACCCCCAAGCCCATATTCCCTAAAACAGTGGTTCTCAAACTTCTGTATCTGATTCATCTGCCGGGCTTGCTAAAATATAGATTGCTGGGCCCCACCTCCAGAGTTTCTGAGATAGGGTCCAAACGTTCACATTTCTGACATGTTCTTGGGTGGTGCTAATGCTGCTCGTCTAGAGATCACATCTTGAGAATGTGATCTTAAAATTCAGACCTTCCACATCAAATCTCAACTCTCCTCTCGTATGAGTTTCATGAGAATGAACTCACCTACTTAGAAAATACTAAAGCATATTCTAAGGATATAATCAGAGAGGCAGACAAAGATTTATGGATAAGGATATTTATCACAGCATTATCATAGCAAAAAAAAAGGACACAATATATGTGTCTAACAGGGAAAATATTAACTATTACACAGCTGTCTACATAACTATACATTATGCAGCTCTTAAAGATATATTTTCAAAACAAATGTTTTTTCAGAGAATGTTTAATGACCTGGAAAGATGTAAATAATAAAATATATTCAAGTGAAAAACACTAGCATAAAAACCCATTTTATAAAACTGTGATCAGGTAGGTAGAGTAGGAGGGCTTCTCAGTGTAGATTACCAAAACGTGGAAATAAGGCAAAGGAATGACCTCATGTCCCTTCAATGTCATATCAGAGCACTGGGAACAAGCGTACCTAAGGATCACCCATTTACTACTGATTAGAGCCCCAACTCTGCAAAGTTCTGTACTAACTCACAGAAAACGGATTTAAGCTATGATGATGATTTTTGCCAGGTAGGAATGTAATTTAATTTTGTCTGTTAGAAAAAATAACCCACAGGGTGATAACTTCACTGCTCTGTAGGACATGGGCCTGTTTCATAACTTAATCATATTCTGGCACTTTTTATTTCTCATTGCCTATGCATCAGTTTCTCTTATCCTCCTTTTGAGCCAGCTTTGTCATCCTACTAGTTCCCTCATTATTGAGTTAATTAAAACATTGGCCTGTAACTACTATTTGTCTGGGAATTATATGTTTAACATTTTGAAAATGATACACAAGGGATGGAGACTGTCTCAGCCTGAAGTTCTCTGATTTGGAGGATCCATGTGTTCTGTTTCTGTATTTATCAGAAACCCTGGGCAGTTTTAAGGTACTTCAATCTCAGAAAGCTTCGTGCACAGTAAATTCTTCCCATAGAATTTCACCAGGGCCTCACATACCGTTAAGCTGTCGAGTAAAGCAGTTCCTATATGTTGTGACTTCCAGCTTTCTTTAAGCTTTGACACACGGTAGCTTTGTGACTCTCACTTCCGATTTGGACTGCCCCAGTGATTAGGGAAAAAAGCAGGCAAGTCGCTGTCAGTGAAACCCAAGACCAACCAAACATCTTGCTGTCTTGTCTTCAGAACTGCCTTTGTCATAGATTCTTTCCCTACCCCCAGCACCTGAAATTACCTAAAAACAGATCCAATCAAAATGAATTCAGAGGCATATTAAGGCATCAGTTGACCAGAAGATCACTGGTCAGATTAGATACCGATGTGTGAAATTTGCAGAATTCTAGCCAATTCTCAATATGACCTGAAAGATTTTTTAAAAGAACTTCTCCTACTAAATGGACTGAAACTGGAAAAAGACAAGCCCCACCCATCACCTCAGCTGCATACCACGAGGGGTACATCACAGTCCATCTCTGCAGGCTACGTTATGATGCCTGCGTAAGGACTACACTATAGAATCTCTATGAAGGCTAGGCTTTTTTAGGAGTCAAAGACAAATCCTTAAGTGGAGACCTTCAAGGAATCAATAGGAAAGGAATATGGAATCCCAGGGCCTGGCTGAGAGTTTTAGATCTATAGTCCTGGGTGATCAGACAAAAGGGCATAGAAGTTCTACCCATTAGCCTGTGATCTGAGGGCACCAGAATCTCACAAAGATAAATAGGAATATAGAAAGCAGAGGAGTCAGATGGCAAGAACTTCAGTAGCAGAGCAGTAGGGGGTTCTTCCGAAGCAATGTAAATTTCACATACAGACTCTCAGTACATTTCAGCAGAAATCTTTGTCACAGTTGCTTGAACTTAGAGGAATGTGGTTGCCCTGGATTTTAACACCTGGGTCCACTGTCTTGAACTGAAACATGGTGCAGTGCCTTGCAAAGTGAGAGGGAGAAAACTTTCCGGACTCTCGCCCAGGAGGGGGCAACAATACACCCAAGACAAACCTGAGGAGACAGGGTAAGCTCATCCCCACTCCAGCATCCCTCAGCCACCTTTGTTCCTGTACTGCCTCAGGATTTGCATCTTCAAGGCTCACAGGCCCCTTGCTGTGTGACAAAGTCTGCTGGCCAGAGAACACCTGAAAGATTTGGGTTGTTCTGATACTTCAGAAATATGCATTTTGAGAGAATGTGAAAAGTTGTCTTTCTGACTTTCTTTTTTATTTGAGAACCCTAGCAGCTCTAAAACTGTTTCACAGCTATTTTCTCTATGTGAAAAATAAAGTAAAACAGGACCAAACGCAAACAAAACAAACAAAAAGATGGGGGTAGAAAGAGGAGAGTGCATTAGATTCTAGAAAAGGGCGTTAGGTCCCTTTGACTTAGAAGAGCAAAGTGACCTCTGAAAAGGTCAGAAGGCCAGATGGGACTGGTGTCTCCAAGGCATAAATTATTTTTTAAAAACTTAAAAGTTTATTTCTGAGAAGCCAGAGAAGCTGCAAAGTAGAAGCAGGAAAAAAAAAAAAGTAGATTGAGAGAGGATTTAAAACATTGGGACCCAGGAGCTGCTCTTAGAATTTATGTTTAAAACTAGCAAAGGAGGGGCACTTGGGTGGCTCAGTCAGTTAAGCGTCTGACTTTGGCTCAGGTCCTGATCTCGTGGTTCACAGGTTCAAGCCCCACATCAGGCTTCGGATTCTGTGTCTCTCTCTCTCTCTGCCCCTCCCCTGCTCACACACACTCTCCCTCTCTCAAAAATAAATGCACATTAAAAATTTTTTTAAAAATAAAAATAAATAAAACTAGCAAAGGAGATTAAAAATGTCACTATGAAGCACCTTACCCCGGGACTGAAGGAAGAGCCCAAAGGCAATGCTACTAAAGAATAAATAGAAGCCACACAGACAGATCAATAACTCCAAGGCTCAGAAAGTAGTTAAGAAATCTCTGGGAGAGCGAACAGGGAGCACGTAGAAGAGAATGCCTTAAATGTGTGAAAAGTTGACTTCTTACTTTACCCAGTAAACTACTCCGCTGGCATACTCTTACTGTGTACAGTTTCTACATATCCAACCTTGCAAAAGTCACTTTACATCTCCATTTCTTCATCTGTGAAATGAGAAAGTTGATCTCTGAGGTCACTTCAAGCTCTAATACTCCACGCTTCTATAATTTCCCCAAATTCCGTCCAGCTACCATAATGCTCAGTTTGACGCTTGAACCAAGTATAGGCGATAAACTACATTGGTGGGCACCTTCGAGAAACCACAGAGAAAAGGGGCACCTGGGTGGCTCAGTCAGTTAAGCATCTGACGTTTGGTTTCGGCTCAGGTCATGATCTCACAGTTTGTGAGACTGAGCGCTGCGTCCGGCCCTGCTGATGGTGCAGAGCCTGCTTGGGATTCTCTCTGCCCCTCCCACGTCTC